AATTTCCAAAATAGGAAAGTAAATTTGTCTTGCTTATAAGGTTGCTGTTGGCGTACACGGGTAACATCAAAAGTAAATCTGTAAATCATAACTGTATTTTAATGCTATCGAAAGTACAATCCACGTTAATGTAGGTAATTTACAGATCGCAACGGCATTGGTTTGCAAGCCCTGTTAACAAGAAATTAACTCTCTCCCTCTTAGACAATTTTGTTTGTCACTCCAACGTTTGAATCTGTGGACGAAATCCTGTGGTGCTACCATTCAAATAAACTCTCTTTTGCAGAACTTTTGCGTGGGAAAATTTATTTTTTACGGGATCAGTTTTCAAAAAGAATTTTGGCTACTTTTAGGAGTGGAGCGTTAAAAGGGCTAAAACTACTCTTAATTAATGATTACATAACTCTACACGGTTACAACTTTACTCAGGCGAAACAGAGGATAAAGTCTACTTACACTAATGTATTTGTATTTGTTGGTATCTCATCATTTTTGAAACGTTCTCTCTAAATGTCACTGACATAATGCGCTCTCTAAAAATATTCGCTGCAGTGTTAAATTTTGGGCTTCATCTGCCGCTTGACTGTTATCAATTACAGATTCATTCGTGGATAACACTCTTCATAGGTTAAATATAAAAAAGACACACAACACCGCAACAAACACTGAACTACCTGGTGGATTTCATCAGAGAGTTCTGGGTGGATAGCCAGTTGAACACACAAATGGCTTTCTCTTTTTCGTGGTCAAAATTTGTCTCCTCAGTTCTGATAAAATGTTCCAAAGCGTTTGCCTGTCCGTCTTGATAGTCTCTGTTCCAACATAATTGGCCAGGAGACGAGAAGCGTCTTTGATAAGTCTTGAATGGATTTGTTGTGGCACTCGTATTTTCAGCCCGGCTGTGTCGATTTGTCAGCCTCGTCGTATCAAACGCTGCCTGCAGATCCCTTTTGGCCATTTAGCAAGCTCTGTTTTAGTCCGTCTTTTAATGGAGGAAGCTTGAGTTCATTTTGTGACATACTGGTGCCCTGTGAGCTCAACTCTCTGTTACCTTTTATCATTCCTTGGTTGCTACTGCAAGTTGAAGTCAACACAGGTTCCCATGCTACTTCCAATTTAGCTGGAGCGGTTATTCGCCTCCGCTCCAAGCTTGGCCTTCTCGTGTAAACACGAGGAGCTGGCGTTGATGCTCTTCGAACTAAAAGCCGTTTTCTGTTTATTTGTAACTCGTCTGTTTTGTTATCCATTTGTGTATCTTTATTGGAGAACCATAAGGACCCATAAGGACTATGACTCTAGCTACAGGTTGACGAAATCAGCGGGGTTCAAAAAGTCAATTAAAGCCGGTAGCCACTGAAGAGTTGTGTAAATAAGCCGAATTTCCTAAATTGTCTTCTTAAACGAACGCTATTGTGATTGATATGAATGTCACCTGCCAAAAGCGGAATTTATAACCTACAATGCACAGGCTTCAAGCACTTTTGAGTCTTTGGATGACAG